CTTATTGAGCAGGATGCCTTATCGGAGAAGTCATTACAGAAGCCACCAATCGTAGGAGTTCACGTTTTACAGATACAAAACTGTTAGAAATTGCTTTTCATGTAGAAAACAAAATCAATCTCCAAGACGAACAGCTCCAGATTACAGCGTCGAAGAGGACGAATTTGGACGACTAGTATGTTCTCATACTCTCCTTAAAACAATAAAATATCTTAATTGAATTTCAGATAAATCGTGAAAAGCGTATGATATGGCCAGAGCGAAGGCCAAGGGCAAGAGAGGAATTTGAGCGTATAATTCGTTTACCACCAACAGCGGTAGTAAAACAATTTCTAGCATCAATAAGGCAGTTCTAGGTTCAAATAACTTTAAGGTGCCCATAATTTCACCGGCGCCATCCACAGCTACCGATATATTCTTGAGCAGCACTCGGAGCGTTGTTAATGAAGTGAGGGGTTCAGATTAAGATAGTGTCTTACGCGTGCAATATTGAATCATTAAGGTTGAAAATAAACCAGATCCTGAAGTCGAACAAGCATTCATAGGTGGATCATCTCCAAAGGAGGTGAGTTAGTATCTCCTTTTAGGTTGAATTCAGGAGAAACTGTTCTTTGGTTAGGATTTCACTTGAACGGGTGACGTAAAGTAGTCGCCATATTGATTTCAAATCCGCTTATTTTGGCTCTCTTGGCTGTGATTTTACCCTGCACTCGTTTTTCACCTATTATGGAGGAAGCGTGCCTTGGTCACATATTCTTTATGACTATGTGAATGTGTTGCCTTTAGGCAGCCGCACGAGTCGACCCATCAGCTTTTGTGCTCTATTATCGAATTGATGAACCGCTTAGCGACAAAGCTTATCTCTACATGGCGTACAAAAACAATCAAGGACAGGTTGGATCAATACAGGCATTGTAATCATCCCTGCGTTCGGACCTCACTTTTTCTTCATTTCAGCCTTTTCACTTCCCATTGACTTGCAGAAAGGCGAAACATGACGACGGTAGCGAATCTACTTACTGGCGAGTAGAGTATGGCGACCCAGAAGCCAAAGAAGTTGGTATAGTTCTGGCGAGAACTGGTCCCCTAGCTATGTGACTGCAATCTTCACCGGATTTGAGCACC